CTTTTGCAGGAGTAGAGGTTCGGTCTCCCACTTGATTTGCACCTAGGGTAGATTCTGGGTTTGAATCCTGCTCCCTGCACCCCACCAGACCATAAAAATGGAAGATCAAGCTCACTTGGTTTGACAAATGCTCTCAAAATGGAAAGCCCTCTTACCTTTTCAGGTTTCAGTTTTCACTTGGTTTTTTATTTTAAATATATCTCACTTTCTAATCAGAACATCAATACATTTATGTAGAAGTGTTGAACATTTTTATATTTTAATCTGTATTTTTAGTTGTTTTCAATATAGGGGTGAATACAGTGGTAGACAACCAGAGTAACTAGTCAACTGTACTGTTGGAAATGGACTTTTTTATCATCAAGAAGGTGTATATTTTGATGTTGTCAAGTGGAGCTGCCTTTTCCTTTATGATTATTACTTTTTGGTCTTGTCTAAGAGATCTTTCCTTACTCTCAGTCTCCCAGTGTCACAAACACAAAAACATATTCTCTTATGTTCTGTGTATATTAATGTAAAGAAAGATTTATTTTTACTTTTGTCCATATGGAAAACTATGGACCATGGATCAGATTTGACTTTTGACCTGTTTTTATATGCCCTTGTGAGCTAGACAGGGTTTTTACATTTTTAAAAGGTTATATATATATAAAATATGTGGTAGAGATGGTATGTGGCCTGTAAAATCTAAAATATTTATTATCTGGACCTTTATACAAAAAGCTTACAGACCTACAGACCCCTGGATTAATTTACCTCTTTTTCTCACTTGTTTGCTATATTTTAACTTCCCAGTTATACCTGGAGTTTATTTCTGGGCCCTCCATCTGATTTCATTTGTCTCTTCATTTGTTGCCAACTCCGAATACCACACTGTAATGAAAATGGCTGTTTTCATTGATGAAAGTACATGAGCTAAAGGAGAAGGATTAGAAAATGCAGGATCCATTTTCAGAGTGGAAATGGAAAAATGTAGAAAATTCATACTTGGATGCCTATTTGCCCTGACATTAACTAGAGGCGTGGAGATTCAGAGTGCCCATGGACCACGCCTCTGTGTGCCCAGAGCAAGCGCCGGACCGTGGAATTGGATTTTATTGATTAATTTGTAACTGTGTACAGCGCTGTATGAGGCATGAAACTTGTGACACATGGAACAATGAGTTGTGAAGTCCCAAGTGGATCAGAATGAGCAAGGAAGAGATTGGGGGTCATATGGGAGAAGCCTGCGTGGTAAACCCTAAAATATATGTTAGTCATTGAAAGTGGGGGAAGGAGGGTAAACCGGGTCCTGGGAATAAAATCTTTCCCTCTAAAGTGGATGTCTGTCTGAGGTGTCTGCTTACTTTGGTCATGACACGGTTTACCTGTTCAGTGAGGTCGCATTCTCAGGGATGACGTCACAATCTCTGAGGTGAGGTGGAGACACACATAAGAGAGACGGTGGCTGCCACCACACCTGGCTGAGACATTTGTCACATTCACCAAGGCACTAGAGGCTTTGACCATAGTCCTACATCCTGCTTAGTGGGATACTGAAGGTCTGCATGCCTCCACTTTGCTTCCTTTTGCTTTCTTATTCCCTGTAGGATCAAATGGGAGGAACAGTATAACAGCACATGTCGTTCCCCCCACCCCCCCCCACCCCAGAATAAGCATATGTGAAGGGGCCTGACGCTCTCCTTGGATCCACCTTCTTCCCTCAGACCTGGCTGATAAAAGGAGAAGTGAGTGTGTGGGGGGTGGGGAGGGTGCGGCTGGAGTAGGCAGGGTGGCCAGTGGCTTTCTGCTAGCCTCAAAATACAGGACAAAGACTTCACCCTGCCTCCCTTCAAGAGCTGCTCCCGAGCTCTAGTTAAAACCAGTGTCTCCTGAGTCCTTGACCTTGGCCAGCCAGTCACTGGTGCTGGAGCTCCTGTGCGGTAAGAAGGCTTTGTTCTGAGCAGTTTTCCATGAGGCCTATCAACAAAAACACTGTGCTGATCTTACGTTAAGTGTCGATAACACAGGCTCTTAAAGGAAGACCTCTGGAGAGAGACGGAGAGCGCAGGGGGTCCACTGAGTGTAGGAGTTAAATTTAAAATCTGGACTTTCAGTGGCAGTTATTAAAAACCCTGTGAACTACTCTACAGGTCAGCTCACAGTGAATTAGACATAAACACGGAAACCTAGATTGATTGTAAAGGTAACCTCCAGTAAAACTACCATGAGAAAAAGGACGGCTCTGTGGGCCAATGTCACACACAAAGGACACCACGTATTTATAAGGATCCTTGCATTTAAGGGTGTTTGTCAGACATATCTGAGGGAGCGTCTCTGGGGAAGATAGGCCAATGGGACTCAGAGGAGAAGGGAAGCACTTGAATCGTGTGTCTGGGGTCGGGCTCCCCAGAAGCAGAGCCTGAGATGGGCATTCTTGGACAGGTGATTTACAGAGGAAGGGCTCTCAGGAGTGAGGGAAGCAGACCAGGGCACAGAAAGGACTAAGCACAATTTGGCATTGAGTATCCAGTCCTGCCTGATCCCATGGGAAGGTCTGGAGTGTGAGACGCACCAGAGATTGTCCTGCTCAGAGAGAAAGGGGCTGAGCTGTCACCCCCTGCAATTGTCAGTCAGTGGCTAAGGGCCCTTCCTGGGGTATGTGCAAGTTCCCCCAGGCCTCTTCAGACAGGATGGCTCCCATCAGCCAAGAGCAATTCTCTTGAGAAGGGGATAAATATGAGTCATTAGCATGCAACACCCCAGCATCTGGAACACAACATGCAGCCAGGTGAAGGCAGTTGAGACGGGTCTTCGTGGCATCTGCTAAACTGCAGGAGGCCTTGTTTGGCTGGTGACGGTGACAGATTTGCCTCCCCTGCCACACCCTGTGTATTCGTGCCCAGAGGAGGATCTTCCAGGAGGGGCTGCATGCAGAATGTTCTCAGAGAACCCAGGAGAGGCAGCAACAGACCCTGCCCATGACTCAACAAAACACTGCTTTGAAGGCAAGGCCAGGATCCACTTGGGCTCCCCCAAAGGCAAAAGGGCCCAGATTCCACCTTCCTAAGACCTGAATTCAGGGGCTGGGACTCTCCTACAGTCTCCTAGCGGTTTTCATTGAGTAGAGTCCCTCACTAGGCCATTTTCCAAAAGCAAAACCTCCCAGCAGTTCAAACTGTGCCGTTCTTAACACCTGCAAGCTTGTGGCAGTCACCCACTGACTTGGGGGTAAAGGTGACCCAGCAGCACATAGAGAAGAATTCTCCCCATGCCCCCCTCCCCCTTTGTCTCTACACTTTGAAATCCCTCTCTGCCCAGGCTCAGCAGGAGCCCTGACTGGTTCAGGGGCTTGTGATTAGCTCCCTACCCTGGCTCAGATAGCTCTTTCAGGAACCTGTGGACTTGACAAGCAGGGACGACTGCTGCAAAGAATAAAGCAGGCACCCCCGGGGAATGACAGCGCCTGCCCCAGGCTGGGGAGGCAGCAGGGCCATGTGAGTGGGGCCTCGCCCAAACACGGACTCCAGAAGAGATGAACACAAAGTCACTTTCTCATTGTTTTGATGCCATAAAAATCAACGCATAAGAGAATACAGCATTCTGCAGATCTTATTTAAAATTCTGTGAGCAGCCCTGGTGATTAGGGGACTGCAGCTGGAGGCTGGCGGCGGCTCAGACAAATGAGAAAGGAAAGTGGCCAAGCAGGTCGCCTCACCTTACCCCCAGGCTGAAGAGCGTCTGGGAGTAGAATTCTTGTAAACTGAGGTTTGTAAAAGAAAGGGCGTCCTTGTGGCTTGACTAGGCAGAGAGAAGCAGTGCAAAGGTCTCTTCAAAGAGCTGACCGCTGGTGGTGGCCTGTCGCAAAATGGTACAGAGCACTGGACCAAGGGTCTAGCTCCACCTGGCTGCACGGTCTAATGTGTCTTAGGGCTCTAGCAGCTGCTCTGTGTCTTGGTTCTTTGGCCGCAGCAGGTGGTACTAGAGCAGCTCGCTGGTCTGTCCTCGGCACGTTTGGTTGCATATCCTAGTAAGTGCGTAATTGTTTACTCAGAAATTGTACACACGTTCTACTCTGCTAATGTGTTATGTATATTATAAAGGGCATACAGCAATAGATACAAGAAAGTCTAGAAGAAGGTAAATATAAATATAAGCTCCAGTATTTTCTTTCTCAACTTTGCCATGCCTTCCCACTGGGATGTGAATACTGTTTCGGAGGTTAGACCAGATGATCTGGAAGGTCCTCTCTAGATGGAGAAGCCCCCCCCCCCCTTTTTTTAAAGATTTTATTTATTTATTTATTTATTTATTTATTTATTTATTTATTTATTTGAGAGAGTGAGAGAAAGAGAGAGCACGAGAAGGGGGAGGGTCAGAGGGGAGCCCGACGCGGGACTTGATCCCAGGACTCCAGGATCATGACCTGAGCCGAAGGCAGTCGCTTAACCAACTGAGCCAGCCAGGCACCCGGAGAAGCCCTTTTTTTCAAAGTAGATCCTCTAAGCCTTCAGGGTCCAATACAGTAGCCATTGGCCACATGTAGCTATTTAAACTCATTAAAATGAAATAAAGTAAAACTCAGTTCCTCAGAAACCCTAACTCTGTTTCAAATGCTCAATAGCTGCACATGGTCAGTGCAGATTATAGAACGTTCCTGTCATTGCCAGAAGTTGTATGGGGCAGCATGTTTATAAGTGGCCAGGAGCGTATGATTCAGGATTTCATTACAGCCGCCAGCCTTTAGGGAACATGCACCATGCGCGAAGTAGCACGGAGAGCCCTTCCTGTGCACCATCTCATGTCGTCCCTCCAGCGGCCTTGCGGGTTAGGTCCCACTATTGTCTCCATGTCCTAGAGGGGAAAAGGAGGATAGGAAGTATGAGGAGTTTCTAGGCTGACCCCAAGGGGACTCGGGGGTTTATTGTCTGAGTGTTGCCTTTGTAAACGTGTGTGTGTATGGGCTTCTGGGCACATATTCTCCAGGCAGGTGACTGCATACGTGCTTCTCTGCCCCACAGGTACAAAGGGAGTTTCTTACAGAGCCGCGTCCAGCCGAGAGGGGGTGGACCGCGCAGGCCTCCCAGAGTGCTGAGAAAAGACCGCCACCTACCCCCACTCGAGGGGCTGGGCCCACGCGGGACCTGCAGGCAGCCCTCTTCAGAAATGGCAGGTAATGTTCTTCTTGGAACCAAATCCAAACTGGGCACACCAAGGCACCGGGCCTCTCATAGAGGCTGGGGATGCAGGATGGGCGGGAGCCAGCCATTCTTGCCCTCAGGAGCCTGAAAGTAGGGTGACAAAGGTGGGACATCTATGGGACAGTGTGACCCCAAACTAGTGGGGAGAATACTGGGTGAGAATATGGAGAAGTCAGGACACATCCTTCAGTCCTGGCCACGTGTGCTGGGCCATGTGCTGGGCCCTGCGCCATGTACAGATTTCCTCCAGGACCTCGGGAACATGAGTCAGAACTCTTGGTGCCTCCACTCTCCCCCATCTTTAAAAAGGAAGTTCACTTGATTCTTTCCACAGGGCCATTGCGAGGCTGCAGTGGGTCAGTGGGGGGCTTGAGAGTCAGTGTTGGAATAGAAAGATGAGCAGTTAGTGCGTGTGGGAGCTGCAGGGAACATTGCTTACATGGAAGGCGTCAGAGGTGCATGCTTTGTCATGCTCAGAAATAAATCAAGGATGAACTAATGCAGAGCGCTTCCTGGAAAAAGGACTATTTTCAGCTGTAATCACTGGGCAACCAGGGCAAATCGCTGTACTTCTCCGGACCTCCATTCTCTCCCTCCGTTTCTTCTCCTCCCCAGCAGCAATGGGCCCAGCCTTAGCCTCCTTTGCAAGGTGTTGACTGGGAAAAATGAAGAGCATCCGTGGAGAGGCTACAGGGTCCCATCTGGCCAGCGGTGACTGAATTACCATCCTTTTGTGGCTGATTATTGTCTGTTTGGCTCAAGGGCTGACCCTGGGCTGTGTCTGATGGCTGAGGTTTGGGTCCCTGGGGATGGTTGGCTAGGGCATCTCGCCCTCCACCTTTATGTAGCTCCAGTGCCCCCTGCAGGCAGATGGCTCTTCCGTGCTCCCCCTCCCCACCCCATCCCCCCCTCCCCCCACTCCTGTAGGCATGGACAGGGATTTGTCTTTTGTTTCTCAGTAAGAATTTAAATCAAGGTAAGTATTTGCTCTGCTGGTTGGCCAGGAAAAGCATTGTTTTTGCTAGGACCCTGGAGGTTTAAGATGGTGTCGGGGAGGCTGGGATGAGATGGAGGGTGGTAGCCTGCAGGCCCCAGGGAGCCCAGCTGATTCTTTCTTCACTTCTGTGGCCCACATCCTCAACTCCATGACTTTCCTTCTTCTCAAATAGATACAGCCAAGGGAACTGCCCAAGGGGTTGCATGGGTGATACCCGCCCCCCAGCAGAACCAACTGGAAAGCTTCCAGTTGTCCCAAATGGCAGAACCTTCCCACCAGCTCTCTCCCCAGTGCCTTAAAGAGGGCTAAATCAGGCTGCTGGAAGCTCATGGCAGCTGCCATGTTTATATTCCTAAGCATTGTGCTGTGCACTGAAGAGGAGAGAAATAATCCTGCTGTGGTACAGGGTGAAGTCCGGACCGGTGGACTATCTCTTCACCCTTTGCTCAATCACAGCAGGTCAGGTGGCTGCCCCCTCGGGATCTGTGTCCCCACAGCGAGGCTGTGGATAAAGGTTTTACCTGCCCAGGGGCTCAGTGTGCGTGTGCAGATGCCAGGAGACCCTACTGCAGATGATAGATGTTGATTGTTACTATCTGCGGAGCTTGATAAGCATACCTGCATAAAGACAGGCAGGTGCTGAGTGCCAAGTGAGTGTGGGGCATGTGGTAATAAGTGTTTCTGTTGTTGGCAGAGGACGAGGTCAGTGTTTGGGGAGGGACCCCTGGGGGAGTTTTCTTGAGCGACATAGGGCTTCGTCTGGATGTGCAGAGGGAGGGAGACTAGAACTGAGGCTTGCTGGATTGGGCAGTGGTGAGGAGGGGCTCAGGGGCAAGAATGCAGACTCTGGAGCAGGCAGCTGGAGCCCAAATGGGCCAGTGTGCACTGGGACCAGTGAGGGACAGGGGACAGCCACTGAAGCCGGTGCCCCACTTGGCCACCACCGGTACTAGTTCCCTGTGGCTGTGGAAGAAATTGCCACAAACTTGGTGGTTTAAAACAACAAAAATTAATTTTCTCACGGTAATGGAGGCCAGTTGTCTCACACTCTCTCCAAAGGCTTTAGGGAAGGAGCCTTCCTGCCACTTCCAGCTTTTGGTGGCTCCGGCCGTCCCCTGGCTGGGGGCTGCATCTCTCCAACTTCTGCCTCCTGCACATGGACTTCTCTGTGTATTTCTGTGAATCAGATCTCCCCCTCTTTTTCCCTTACAAGTATACTTGTCACTGGACTTAGGGCTGATCCTAAATCCAGGCTGATCTCATTTTCAGTCTTAATTTAATGACATCTGCAAAGACTCTTTGTCCAGGTACGGCCACAGCCACAGGTTGTGCAAACTAGGACTTGGACATAGCATTTTGGGGGTCACAGTTCAATCACTGTACCACTTTTACAATTTTTCCCCTCTCTGTGAACTAACAGAAGTGACCTAAAAACGTGTTTCTAAGTGAGAAAAGCAGTGGCACATGTGGACATTCAGTGTTTGATGAGGCACATTCTCTGTGCTCTTATTGTGTGCACACAGTTTGGGTAGGAAAGTTCTATTTGAAACCAAACCAATACATAATCATTAAGAGTCACCTGGCACACCACCAGCAGGACATGTTCCACACTTGCAGCAAGAGTTTACGAGTAGCTTCAACACCAGGATGGGTGTGTTGGGCTAGGGGACCCATTAGCTTCTCTTTAGGGAGAAGCCCAGGGGCGGGTGGGGTAGGGCCCACTTGGGCCCTTGAAGGTATGGCTGTGTGGGATTGTTTCCCCTGGGCCTGTGGTCCAGTTCCCATCTGGTTTGTCCCGCCTTGCCCTCCGACTATGGGGCTGTCAGCCCAAAGCAGGGAGCCCTGGCTCTTCTCTCCTTTCACTCTCCACTGTGCAGCCCGCCAGTGGAAGTGGGTGCCTCTTCCTAATGTGCACAGGTGACTCGTGTGAGCAGAGACCAGGCGGGAAGACCTCTCACCTGTCACTGTCCTTTGCACCCCCTTCTTCCCTTTGAAAGCGTCTCTTGGCCTCAGGGGGGTGGTCCTGCTCCCACCCACATGGATTATGGAGGGCATCTGGAGACCCCCTCCATGTTGGGAGAAATCCCACTTCCATCTACTTCGTATCTCAGCAGCAGCTTTTCATACCAAAGCCTCAGAGCAAACTGGGGCACAGTGGATGGTGGATAAAAACAGACCCAAACAAACAAAAAAATCAGAAACACAATCTGAATGTGGAGCTAAGAAAGGAGAGGCTATCCGTAGTTCAAATGCCCCCTGGGATGTGGCCCCACACAGGGGTATTATAATGCCCGAGGAACAGCAGCCCAAGTGGTGACAAATGTCTCTGCTTTCGTGTTTATTATTTGAGAAGCGGATTGAGCCAGAGGCTTGGGTCACTGGTGCCCATTTTCAAAAGGCTCTCTCCCCCGCAATTAGGAAGAACATGGAGGATGTCCATTAAGAGCAGGTGTGAGCCTGCGGGATGTGGGCTAAGCATTGGCCCAGGAAGTATTAATCACCCCTGTCCCTTATTGAAGTGTCAGAGTGGGAATAGGGCTGGCTGGTTGGGTAAACCAGCCAGCCCAGGGTGGACAGGTCATGATGGACACCAAGTTGGAGGGTGGTAGAGTGCATTAAAATAAATTCCTCCTGGAAATCAAAGGGGCTCGGGGATTTTATTGCCACTGCTTGCCCATACCAATATTTCACAGTGGAGTGACAGGCACTCTGAGTGTTGGGTGATTGAAGACAAAGTGCTGTTACTTCAAAGGAACCTAACAATGGGCCTCGGTCACCCACCATCTACAAACAACTTTCTTATATCCTTTGACCTGGCAGGTCCTACATGGAGAGATCAGGGCTGGCTTCTGAGTGAGGGAGCTGACCTCGCCATGGTGTAGTGCGCGGGCCTGTGCATGAGTGTGCCTGTGAATGCATGCAGCTGTGTATATTTTTTTTGTGAGGGATGTTTGTGGGGGGAGGGCCTGTTTTCCAGAAAGGACAATGATAGAATCATCTATTTTGGGTGACCTGAGGGGCTGTAACTTTGGGGGAACTTGACGAAATGCAACAAAGAAATTGAGAATGGTCTTTGGGGGGAACTTCCCAATTAAGATAGGGAAATCCTTTGTCCCTGATCCTTAGAAGTCAACTAGAATCAGTAACACCTCTTCAAATAAGTAGGCATGAATGCTTGTGTCTGGGGGCTGAAAGAGGGTATCATAACTGATTCTTTGTCCTCTTCAGTTTTGGTGAATCTTCCTGTCAACAATTTATAAAGATGAGAGGAAGAAGATGTTTCTGAAAAATATTTTTTAAAAGGCTGCTTAATTTCCCTCTTCTTTAAACTATTCTGATAGCTTGGTACTAATCATTGCAGTTAACAGATGGCTTGGCAGTGAAGTCATCTGCAAGCAGAAGGCCAGAGGAGTTAGGAAGGATAAAGACCTAATTTATAAGATTTTAGAGTGATTGGAGTCTTTGAGACTCTCCTGAGACATGGGTCTGTTTTTAAACCTGAATCCAGTGGTCCATCCCATCCGAGTTTCCAGCAAGGGGGTCAGAAAAGCTGGAAGTCTCTTTTTAAATATCAAGTAGCAATGAATTCCCCATAGCAATGGTGACTATCCGTCGGCAGGAGTGTTGCTATTCCGGAGAACTTCCTTCCTCATTCATGCACTTCAGGATCACGGGGGAGGTATGGAGTTAGGTGGCTTTAATCTCAGAAGCTCAAGGTTCTTCATTGAAGGGATTCATAAGAAGATGCTTTTTAAGATACCAGTCATTGAATATCCCAAGGAGAGCGCACATCTACTTGAGGGAAGACCTTGTAATCCAAACTTTCTTTATGGGACACCCCAGTCAGCCATTGCCTGGGGAGGCGATGATTGTCACAGGATGAGAACATTCTCCAATAAACTGACGGCTTATAAATTTAGACCCCTTTTAAACACCACTTTATCTCTGTCTCTCTCTCTCCTTAGCTTTAGCTTT